AAAAGATATGTTATGAAGAAAAATAAACTAAACAAGATTTGCCTGAGCATCACATCTAAATTCCTTGCCAAATTTGAAATAAAAATAAATTATGAAAATAAATACTAATAATTAAAAAAAAAAAAAAAAGAATTAAATTTAGTGAGTTTGCGAGCACATTTTCGACATCGCTATCTTTGGCGATTTTTCATTTTTTTTTGGAATAGCTTAATAACCTGAAAATTTACATATATGTACTTCACATAATGCAAAACACACTAAAAAAGTTTCAAAAAATAATAAAATTGTTTAGAGTCCGAAGTAAAGTGAAAACAAAAAGTAAAAAGTGAAAAAAAACGTGGGCAAGCACGTTTTGACACCGCCATTTATGACGATTTTTAATTCTTATTTGGATTAGAAAAATGACTTGAAAATTTACAGGCATCTACCTCAGGTCATAGAGAACTCACAAAAAAACATTCCGAAATAAATAATTAGGTTTAGGCCCTGAAATATTTTTTGGCGGGGGCCGAACGCCGTCGGGTTCGGACCCCGTACGGGACCCCGAACATCCGTACGTACGGAGGTCTGCCCGGGGACCTCCGTACGTATGGGCTGGTGACCCTGTATATATATATATATGTATATATATATATATATATATATATATATGTATATCCCCGGGCCGACCTCCGTACGTACGGGCAGAACGCATGATCACAATTAACCCTCTCTTGGTTAACGTGTTGTCTTCTTTCGGAATCAGATGTTGATGATGATTTGCAGCTTTTGGGCTTGGTCCGTTGGCTGTCGACTGCGTGCAGTTCGTGGTGTATTAACTACGTGTGTACGAATGCAGTTCTATGCTTTCCTACTACCTAGGGTCGTAACCATCTAGGCAATTGTACCTAGTGGAGGTGGTGGCTGTTGTTCAAGACAAAAGTGTTCTCTGTGAAGGAGTTGTGAGTGACTGGCTTCGGTGGCCGAGTTGGGTGAGACGAAGTACTACTTTTCCGGCGATGAGTGAGGAGGGTGATTCTCGGAGGGGGACTGAGGGTGGTGGCGGGATGCCGCGAGATGGCAGGAAGTGTTATAAGTACGGTGAGGGTGGCCACTACATCCGTGATTGCGCGGACTACTGGAGGGCAAAGGCACAGGGGAGACCATTCGCTCCATCGGTCATTTCCACCGGGCAAACACGGTCTGGACGATCAACATCGGGCAGCGACAGCTTTGGGTTCCGGAGGAGCCGCTTTGCTGAAAGTGGCGGGGATTGTAATGAACGTGGGGATAGTACGGACGAGAAGTACTTCATGCAGATGGTTGAGGAACGACGTGAGCGGATCGAACGTGAAAGGGAAGAGGAGCGAAGAAGAGTGGAGGACGAGGCGAGATGGGTGAAGGAAACTAGGAGGGCGTTAAGAGAGGAACAGAGGATAAGGCACAAAGAGGAACGCGACGTTAGACTAATGAGGATTTTGCGCAGCGAATTTCAAAGGGAGGGTGCGAGAAGCGCAGACAAAGGAAAGAAACCGGTGCGTGCAATCGAAAAGCGGTTGCGGAGAAGCATCGCGCAACGAACTTTCGGGATGGAAGAAGCAGAGGACGAAGAGCTGCTTGCCCTACGCAAGCAAGCGGCGAGGTTGGAATTGTTGGAAAAAAGGAAGCGTGACCCCGACTTACCTGTTGGGAATAGTCCACCTATCTTCACTCTCGAGAAGAGGTCGAATACGTGACTCTCGGAGGAGGCAAAAGCAAGAATTGAAGTGCTGAATAGCGAGCAGCTGAAGGAGGGCGGGACAACGAGTACGCCGAAGAAGATTGACTTGTCATTGAAGCACATCATGGCTTCATGTGGTCCAGGAGGTAAGGAGAAATTGGAACAGGACTGCTATGATTTCTATGAAGCCCTGACCATTGACGAATTGAAGGAAGCCTGCCGGAGGGAGAAGGTAGCGTATGGAAACAGAGATTTGGCTATCAAGCGATTGATCACTAGAAGGTCTGTTGTGGCATATGACCCATCTACCATCCCGCTGCCGTCTACACCACGCATCACTACCAGGGCCAGTAAAGGCGTGGTTATCATGGAAGAAACGAAACCTTCACTCTCGGAATCGGAGGAATCCTTTACTGCGGATGATTCCGAGTGAGGCGTTTGTCGTCGCGACGACTTCTGAGCTTGGGCTGAACTTCTAAGTGAACGAAAACTACTGAAAAATAGTTAGTGCAAAGATGATGAAAGGAAGTTTCGGGCTGCTACGTTAGGACTTATATTGCTTGGAGACGTTAGATGGGGCGAGAAGTATGTAAACTACTGGAGGGACGAAGTAGAAAAGGGAACGTTTGGCATCTCGGCCCCGAGTAGCTGTGTGTATATCTTGGTTTCTCCATGGTATAAGCAGGTGTACGTTGGCATGACCGAGCGCGGCCTGTGGGCGAGATGGCGCGAACACTACTGTCAGGGACATAGATCGGGCAGGAGGGGTAGGACTCCGTACAATTGGCTTGGGAAAGTGGGCGCGCACAAGTATGTTGCTCTGCCAGTTTTCACCAGTCCTGACCGTGCTAAATGAGAAGCTGTCGAATCTGCGTTAATCAAACATTGGTCTCCGTCCCTGAATGTGCGATCGGTCAAAACAAGGAAATGTACAAAGAAATCTAGGCATCGATCAGGTAAGAAAGAACAGCGGAAGTGGTCTAGCGGAGAGGGGAGAAGGACCAGGGATTTTGAGACTGATACGGGGAAGCTGTTGACGATCAAGCTTGAGGGACAGGGGAATGCTACGGTTAAGATCGTAGAGTTCTTACGTAATCACAGGCGAAGGAAGAGGGATTTGAAGGTATGCTGTAACGGGGGAAGTACCTGGGCGGATGGTTGGAAGTTAGTGAGGCGGTTGTTTGGTGAGACGCGCGTGAAAGTCGGACGTGGCACGAAACCTCTTAGGAAATGCAAGGGACTCTTCGAGCGGGAGGGCTATGTAGTAATTCGCAGAGTTTTCGAAGCCTATCCGGCCTTGCTTGCATTAAAAGATGAGATGGTTAAAATGTTCAAAGATCAGCGGAAGAGGAAGATTCTCTATGCAAAGACTTTGGGGGAATTAGTCACGTACTACAGTGCTGTGAAAACTTTTACGGAAAAACGGAGTCGGTCAAAAACTCGTTGTATGGTATCAAGGGTGATACGGGAGAAGTTTGGATATAACGTACGTACTAGGATCATAGTCAAAATTCAGTTTGATGAGAGGATCAGAAAGGGCGAAGTGATGAGGGTTGCGAGGAGGAAGGTAGGTAGCCCGGACTTGGTTACTCCGTTGAAGGAGATGGTAAAGCGTCGTGCACGGGTAGTGTGAAAGAAAGGCCCTAACATGGGTGAAATTCTGCACAACCATCGACAATTTGCATCGAATCGTGCATCCAGCTGCTCTTGTGCTGGTTTGCCCTACCCTAAGAAGGATGGGCACGTGCATTTTCGGATAGGAGAACTTGAGGGCGTCCCGGCGATTGCGAAGAACGCAAATAACGTACCAAGGCATGATGTCGAGCATAGGGACGTTTTGCTTGGTAAGGAATTGAATGAGGCATTGGGTACGTGGGGAAGCAACATGGGAGTGTCTGAAACATTGCTGAAGTGTACTCTGGAAGATGTGCGCGGTTGTTTGGTTTCAGGAAGGGATGAGAGGTGTTGTGATGGTATGAAGGAAGTATTGGATCTAAAAGAGCGCTTGAGAGGGCTGGTCCGGGTCCCCCTGGACCATAATCCTGGGGAAACCCTGGTTCTTTGTCCTAGGCTATACGAGAAGGGAATGGAGGAAACCTTTCTATTGAGTGATGGCTATCGGGTGTGTATGGAGAACGAGGAACAATTGCTAACTCTGGCGAAAAGGGAGTATGAAGGGAAGGGGTTACACGACCATGGGAAGTGGAACTCAAACGGAAAAATCGGGTGGGCATACGCATTGCCCAAGCACAAGGACACGGGGAAATTCCGTCCCATTTTCCCGACCTTTGAAGAACCATCGACTAAGGCGTGCAAGGTCGTGTCAAAGGGGATCAATGGCTTGTTGTATGCATTACCGGAGTCAGGGAACTTCAATCTTAAATCGGTTTCCCAGATGAAGGATAGGCTGGAACGCATGGACAAAAAGTTGGCGAAGAGTAGGAAAGTGGTGAAGGTAGTGGGAGCATCATTTGATATTAAAAACATGTTTAGTCGCCTCCCGCATGAAACGTTCATCGCAGCAATTGAATGGGTAGTGTGGTGGTTTTCTGAGATGGGGTACAACAGTATTTTTGTTCATAAAAGAGGGAAAGGGGCGCGTTTGAGTAAGAATCAGCAATTGGACGGGTTTGTATTCGTGTCATTCAGTTAAATTGTCAAATTTGTGAAGTTCGAGCTCAAATTTTGTTTCAGCAGGGCTTGCGGGTTTCTCCTGCAACAAATCATTGGTATTCCTATGGGAAAGAGTTCGAGTCCTCCCCTCGCTTGTCTTATGTGTGCAAAGAGTGAATGGGATTTTTTAATTTCTTCGGGTAGTTAGAGGCGGGCCTTTTGCGGGATGAGGTTTGTAGATGACGTGTCAGTGTTCGCAGCGCATAATCTTGAGAAAGCCGGGGATAAGGCTAAGGCTTTGAAAATCATGACTCTCTTTAAAGACTGTTATGATCGAGCACTTACCCTCAAGAGAATTGACGAGGGGAAGGAGAGTTGGATTTTCTTGGGGTGCAGATTGACCATTGGCGAGAAGTATCCCTTTCTGAGCACGGTACAAGTTTTGAAGAATGAGAAGGAATTAAGAGAGGGGGGTAACTTACCTTTTTGTTGCCTCCAGGATTTCCGGTCACAGTCGAGTAAGAAAGCCAAGATGGCAGTTATCATCAGTACCCTGCATCGTATCAATCAGAATTCAAGTATGGGAGTGGGGTTACTCGAAACAGTGATCCTGTTCAAATCCGAACTGAGGAAGTGTAACTATCCCGGCTCATGGTTTGGGAAAGCATTGCGGACAACCGTGGAGTGGGCATGGTAGCGGAGGAGAGTGGCGAGGATAGGATGGGAGTCGGGATGTGCTTTCACTCATTAGCATCCGTGGGCAGAACGCATGATCACGATTAGCCCTCTCTTGGTTAACGTGTTTTCTTCTTTCGACATCCGTGGGTAGAACGCATGATCACGATTAACCCTCTCTTGGTTAACGTGTTTTCTTCTTTCGGAATTAGATGTTGATGTTGATTTGCAGTTTTTGGGCTTGGTCCGTGGGCTGTCGACTGCGTGCAGTTCGTGGTGTATTAACTACGTGTGTACGAATCCAGTTCTATGCTTTCCTATCACTCACCCACACTAGATGGAAAACTCTACAGACTGTCGGTTCACACCCCATTACAAGCCAGCAAAGCATCCACAAAACAAAGAAAGGTCTGTCACAGCCAATGTATATATATATATATATATACATATATATATATAACAGTTTGTCACAGCCCCTCGTTTGTTGTCCTCTTCTCTCTCTCTGCCTACGGTTTACCGGGCAGTTCTATTTGTGACGATATATATATATATATACATACATGGTTGCCGGCGTTCGGTACGGGCCGAACACCCGAACCCGAACTCCCGAACGTTTGGGACCCCCTCTCGGCGCGTTCGGACGTTCGGCCGAACGCAGTACCAAAAAAAAAAAAAAAAAAAAAAAACACATAGTTTTCAAAAATTTTGAAAAACACATATGTCATGCAGAAGAATAAACTAAACAACATTTTCCTCAGCAGTACATCCAAATTCCTTACCAAATTTGAAATAAAAATCAAATACAAAAAATAAATAATATTAATGAAAATAATAAAAAATAAAACGAGAATGAAATTATTGCGTGGGCGAGCAAGTTTTTGACACCGCCATCTTTGGCTATTTTTCTTTTTTTTTTGGTTTTGTCAAATGCCATGAAATTTTATACATATGTATCTTACATAATAGAGAACCTACAAATARAGTTTGAAAAAATAATACTTTTTTTCAGGCCCCGAAATAAASGGAAAACAAAAAGTGAAAAGAGAAAAAAAACAAATTGGTAAGTGGGAAAGCAAGTTTTGACACCACCATCTTTGCCGACTTTTCATTATTGTTTGTCTTCACAGAATGACTTCAAAATTGAGAGACAGGTAGCTTACATAAAAGAGAAATAAAAAAAAACAAATCAGAAAAAAAAAATAATTTTTAGGTACCAAAATATTTTTTTGCGGGGTCCGAACCCCTTCGAGTTCGGGCCCCGTACGGGGGGGGCCGTACGGGGACCCGAATGCCCGAACGTTCGGGGGTCAGCTTAGGGGCCTCCGTACGTTCGGCCCCGTACGTTCGGCCTAACAACTCTCTCTCTCTCTCTCTCTATCTATCTATCTATCTATCTATCTATCTATCTATCTATATCTATATCTATATAGGAGGACGAGGTCTTAGGTGTCATGGAGGCGGAAAAGGAGTCAGAAGTTGAGCTTGGGGCCAGCCTGCCCAAGCGGAAAGAAGTGTGCATGGACGTACCAGAAGTCGCACTCGAGATTCCCGATTTGTTACAACTCATCAAGGCTATCAGATACCACAAAGTAGGAGTGGACTCGGCGACATTGGCCAAATTCGAAGGAGAAGTGCAGAAGGGATATTGTCTAAATGGAGACTAGTCAGTATTCAACCACGAGTCGTAGAGGTGACGAGGGTAATCTCGACCATTCATTTTTTAGGAAAAAGATCCTAGAAGGAAGTGTTCGAAAGTACAAGCTGGCAGAG